GCCCAACGAAGTCCTAGCGCCTGTCTGCGATCGCCTGCTCTCCGCGCGTCATGCACAGTGCCCGACGCGCCTCGCTAGCGACACACGCATCACGCTAGCAGCCCGTGCATGTTGCCAGCGACCGAGCCCACTGTCCGTGACCAGTCCGCTGCACCTCGACGTTGAGATTGAGCCACCGTGCAACTGAGGTCCGTTTGACGTGTCGATTAGAATCGACTAAAGGCCAAATCTATCTGCCCATTAGATTGTGGTGTTCAGACGAACTACATCAACGGTACTCTACATCCTCTCAGAGTCGACAAAAAATTTAAAAGGTAAACGTCCATATCCTAACTATAGATTCTGCTGCGTTAGGATTTATTTCGTTAAGTTCAATATTGTGCATGTTGTTTGACGTTCCTCACAGAACCCAACAGGGTACATTGAAGGTTGGGACCAATGGGACAAGCTAGGACCATCAAGTGGACCATTCGTAAGGATCAAGGATTGTCGGGGCGGGCTAAGCCCAATTGGTGGACCAGGACCATTAGGCGAGCAGATAGAGTCGGTCAGCGGCAACGGGGTTTAAAGTGGATGGCTAAAGTGCGAATGTAATATCCCGACTTTTTATCAGTATAAATTATATTTTAGTTCCGATATTATTTTTCGGAATTAATTATTTTCAGTTATTTCTGTAGAAATTACCGGAAACTATTTTCGACGTACCGTTTACGTTCGAAATAATTTTGGTAATTAAGAATTATGTTTAATTGGATAATTATACATAGTTAAGTGATTAATTTAGATTAATCACGAGATTAGCTTAATTGTTCGGATTTTTATTCAAGCCATGCCTAAATGCCGTGCTCAATGTGTTAGAGATTCTCCCAACATTGTCAGTGAATGCCGTGCAAATATTAGTGGGCGGAGTGTCCAAGTTCTTGTGTATCAGTGCACCCCCTTTTTGTATTTTTGTGCATGGGTGTGTTGTATTTTAGTGCTTTTGTCCCATTGTCCCCTTAAAATGCCGTGCTCCATGTGGTGTAGTCAAGATTCCTCATTGTCCTCTAGTACATGGTAATGCCAAGTGTTCCTTAGTTCTTGTGCATGAGTGTCATGTGTCTTGCCTTGACCAAATCCCTCCCTCACTCCCCATTGCATTCGGCCTTTAGTATTTGAGAGGCTTTGGAGACTTTACTTCATTTTTCTCCTCTAACTGCCGAGAGATAGTGAGGGTTGTGAGATTTTGTGAGGGTTGTTCGTGAGTTTTGCCGAGAGTTCCCCGCAAGCTACCGCAAGCCACGAGCCATCGCGCGTCCAAGCCGTCGCGCGTACCGCGAGCAGCGAGTACCGCACGCATAAGCAGCAGCACGCCACGACGGTCTGAGTACAAAGCACGCACGCATCGCACGCACGCGGAGTTCATCACGACCGAGAGCGGGAGTCCGAGTAAATTAGTCTCTTGAGCTTAATAAGAGGTAAGCTCCCGACGACTATTGGCCGAGAGTAGCATGTTCATTAAGTTATTTTTATTAGTAGCATGCATGCGAGTTATGAGTAGCCGTAGCCGTGCCGACCATTGTTGGGTTCTGTTAGGAACGTCAAACAACATGCACAATATTGAACTTTATCGAAA